TCCGTCTGTTGGTTCTGTGGTACAGTCTGGACGTCTTGGTGGTTTCTATCTTTGGAAATCACAACTGAACATGTAAGAGACACTAAAAGTAATCCTGCTGGATAATTTGGGGACTCGTCTTGGGTACAAGAAGACCATGAAGGCGATACGACGAAACTTCCTGGAACTTTAAAGATCAAAAGGACAGTAAACGAAAGCTATTTTGCAACTGAATTGTAGAGTAATGGGTCAGGCTTGGTTTTCATTCCAGCCATATTTCTTCTTCCCACTGGTTTAATGTCTCGTAGGGCTGACCCAGCATTGGGAGCCGCCAACCACAGTATTTTAGCAAAGGGTGCCATGTTTCATTATATAGCTGTTAAGAAAGATGGATTCGAAAACCCTGGTGCTTACATTTCTTTGTAAGAGTCGGTGCCAAAAGCATACTGTATAAAATGTAACCAGCTCAACCCAAGAATGCATCGATTTCAGCAGCTTACTCCGTCCTAAGCTAGCAGGATCCTTGCCAAAGAAAAAATGCTATTTGACACCTCATATTTAAAGGGGTTTTAGATTAATACTTAATGCATTTAGACATAATATGCATGCATCTGTATAATAAGATTGTTTCAGCTCAATAATGAAGGCTTGAACAAAACGTATTTTGCTCCTTAGAGTGACAAATTTGCGCACACAGCTTCCGTCAAAAACATGCCATCGCTAAAGAGGCAGCAAAGGACAACGTGTTTTCTTGGTCTGATGTTTATTACGTCAAATGGCCGGCTTGTTCAGGTGTCAATGACATAATTTTTTAGAGTAGATAAGCTGACAAGCAATCATACGTCCATAATATGAGCAGTTGTTTGTGATTAGTGGAGAAACACAATTATGATCCCTCTTACAGGTTTGAGAGCCTCAGCTCTGCCAGCTCTTCAAGATCCCAGATAAACAATGGCTTTGCTTGTTTCACACAAACAAAACGCAGAGGTTTGCAACATAGACATATTCAGAAAAATCAGTGTCTGCATCAAGAACAAACAACCCCCACCACATACACTCTGGCACAGCGTGAGTCCGTAGTTATTGCATTGGAAGGCAAGACTAATAGCTCCCCTGTCCTCAGCTGAACTGTGGGGGAAACCATTCAAAGCGGTTTACACAGAAAAGGAATGAGCAGCCCAAATTATAATAACAGCTTCATTCATTAAACGCTGTGCCAACACACACGTCTGCTGAGGGGAACGTCTCCTGCTCTTCAAAGTAATTCTTTTCTTTTCTTTTTTTTTCAGAAGTTGTACTGTCCTCATCTCACCTCTGCAGCTTCACAACTCAGATTTGTAAGGGAGAGCCTTCATGTTTGCTATTTTAAGTCTCAACTCGTTGATGATTTGATTCAGTGATGCGGAACACCTGCTGCTGTTTCCATTACCAATGTGCGCAAACCTTTTCCATGTCCGGTCAATGTCGAAAAACACATTTTACGCTAATGCACCGTTTCCATTAAACAAGAAGTTAAACTAAAATCGCACGTGAATAAGCTGGTTAACGCAACAAGTCATTAAAAATGAAGCAGCAACGGATGTAAACATTTACGTGAGATATACTGATAATTGGCCAAGGCGCTCGCGCTCTTGTCTATCAGCCAATCAGAAGGGACGTCGGTAACTTATTCGGCGCAGATGTGTGGCGGTTTGGGGAAATTGTAGTCGGTAATTTTACAGAAAAGTTATAAATTCAATACATTCAAATGAGACACAACTTTTTTTTCTTTTTTTTTTAAAAAGTCATCATCCTACTACTTCCTGTTGTCTTCTATGTCTTCTCTGGCAGGAGTAACGTGCAGCTGACGATCACGTGACTCATGTGATGTGAAAGGTTTTTCCATTGCAGTTTTGTTTCGATGAGGCTGAAAAACCACTTCATCCTACCACAAAACCTTTCCATAGAAAACCATGAGTTTTTCCAAAATTGCTGTGTTTCTTTTAAATTTATTTTCATAATTTCAAGTTGTGGAATTCTGTGGTTAATGGGAACCCAGCAAGTAGTATTAAGTATGAATGTACCGCAGCTGTGTTTCCATTCACCATATAATTGCACAAATTGGAATTCTGAAAATAAATTTGCTTAATGGAAGTATGCTGATTAAAAATATATATGTTTTGTATTGAAATGAGTGTATTTCACAAAACTTAAATGTTAACACTTTTTTTCTACATCTCACAGACATTACTGCTGGTACAACCTGACACATGTGGTGTTTGTGACCTCAGGACATGGTCAGTTTTCTGGTTTGAGAATCTCTCTGTCTTATCTTTGCATTTTCCCTGTGTTGTTGTTGTTGCTTTCATGACCTCCCAGGCAAGTAATTCATAGCTGAGTGTGAGGTGGCGATAATAAGAGTCAGCTTCTCTGATTCTGGGGCCATGCTGGAAAAACTGATGGACTGTTCTTCCCTCCAGATCAGGGGTTCATCTCCACCTCAAGCTGAAGGAAAAGTTAGAGTATTTTTGGTGTTTTTCTCACAAATATTGTCAAAATGGAGATGGGTTGGGGCTTTGTCTGCTGTACTGTGGGCTCAGCTGAGGCATGAAGCGTTTCATTTAACAGTCCTCCAGGTCCAAAGACTCACTTACGGCCATGATAACAGAAATGAGATCCGAAGAAGATCCAGCGCCTGCTGCAAGTAGTAGATAGATGGACGGACAGACGGACAGACAGACGGACAGACAGACGGACAAATGTTCATAAACATTTGAAGTCCTCAGAGCCCAGCAGCTGGAAAGATGCACAATTTTGTCTGATTTTAGCAATTTAAAAATAGTCCAACAGAAGATTTTTAGAGCTACAAACTGAACTTCAAAGTTAAGTCTACACACAGATCTTACAGATGTCTCAAATTAAAACTTAGGTATTTTCTCCACTTTTTTTTTTTTTTTTTTTTTACAAAATTTAACTGTCTGGGCTATATGGGATTTAAACTTCCACAGTGTTTTAGGCTAGTTAAACATCTCACACATGATAAAAACTACAAACAATTCAGAAAACACAAACTAAAACTCCAATGCAGCTTAATTTGATTTTAATTTGAGTACAAACAAACTAATTTCATTCTATTCTCTGCATGTTGCAGCATTAACATCAACATGCAGATGAAGACTTGGTGTTTATTTGAGAAAATAGTGGTGAACATGATGACATACTTTTGTATATTTGTACTGATGGATGGAAACAAATTTTATTTCTAAATCTTTTATGGCACCATCGGCCTTTACTGAACAGTAAATAGACAGGAAACAGAATGTAGAGAGGGGAACGGCGTGCAGCGGAGGGTCCGAGACCGGGAATCAAACCAACAACGTTGAGGACTGTAGCCTCCACACACATAAACCTAACTTATAAAGGATATCATTTTGATTGTGTCCCATGCTTTTATTGATTTTTTTTACCACAACAAAAGAAAATGAGCACAAACATACCAAGCAAATCTAAAATTATATAGTAGTATGATGGGCATTTTTCAATTGGGATTTTGAAAGCACTGATCCACCTCTTTCTGCATATTACTACTTTCATTATATTGTAGAAATCAGTTGTCACTTTGACATTCATTTTTTTTTGTCAAAACAACCCACTTTCGTTGATCTTGATTGATTTGTAAAAACAAAAATATTTTTTTCCACTGTGTGTCCTATTAAATAAAAATTCCCTGCTGTTGGTTTAGATCAGTATGATGTTTATTACAATGTTTCTTTCATCACAACTTATACTGAAGTCTAGAAAAAAAAAGTTGTTCTTGTTCTTAGAAAATTAATTATCATGTCACAGTCAGCCCCATCATCAGATGGAAGTTGAACATTTTAGTGTTTTCAGGCCCATCGCTATGTCATGTTAACACATTACATGAATGAAATCAGACTGAAGTGGACAATAAGTGTTATAAAATAATAATAATAAAAATGAGCCAAATTCAGAAGATTTTTCAGGGTTAATTAAGCTTAAGGACATTTCCACTTGCAGGCCTCCTTTATTATAATCTTGCCTTATTAAGATCATTTATGTCTCTTTCTACCAGTTTAGTTTCTTTTCTTTTTTTTCATCTTTGAAGTTATTTCAGTGTGGAAAAAATATGAAAATCTAAAACAGATCATTTTTGACTGGGGCAAATTCAGTGTTAATGGTCCGGTGCTGCATGGTGATGCCAGGTTCAGATCCCAGCTGGAGCCTTTCATCACTACATGACACATCTCATGGATTCCAACTGAAATCCATTTAAGTTTTTGTTTGCCACAAACTTAAATGGATTTGTGGAAAATGTTCATGGGACAAGTTTAACTTTCTAATGCCATCTATGCAGTTATGTTCAAAATTATTCAGGCAGATTTAGATTTTAATTAATCTTTAATTAATGTATTGAACCAGAGTTCCAAATTAATTTTTTTAGATGGAAACAAAAGATTAGGGTGATGGCACAGAACTCAAAAGTTGGAGATCATTAACAAAGACGTATCATAAATATACAAGAGGAAAAATTAGGATAAAAATTATAAGAAAGATTTTATTGCTTTAACACCAATATATACTGAGAAGAGCATAAATAATTCATGCCTTGCACCTTCTGATGAAAATTTAAGCTAATGTGATTTTCTTTATGTTCAAAATTTATTATTGCTCAAGAGAGTTGCATGTCTGACTGAGAAACGGCTGTAAATCCGCCAGCGGATTTAACGATTCAATCATTCTGGACTCACGTACGTTAAGTCAGCCTGACCTTCTGCCGCAGGACGAGCGGCGTCGACATCACTCCTGCTCTAGAGCAAAGCTCTTAATTTTTCATTTCCATCTTAAGACCGCGGATAAACAGAACATCTGGTTTTAATGTCAGCAGACGTTAAATAAATCTTCTCAAAGCAACACGTTTCCTTTCTTAACTCCGCGCGTCTTGGCGCGCCGCGCGCCCTGGCGCCGCTGGAGACCGCAAAGGTTTAAACGGGGTTACCAGCAATCCCTTTAACGGCCAGGTGCCCCCCCTCGGCCCCAACCCCAAGTGGCGCTCCGACTTATTAAAACAGCTTCTTCCTGCATCGTAGGAGCAACTCCTAATTGTCTTATTGCGAGCCACTTGGCGAGTGATGACCGCAGATTAGGGAGCGAAAAGCAGACCGCCAGCGCCGCGACTTCACCGGGACTCATCAGCTCAGCCCGCGTCAGGTGGCTTCCTGTCGCCCGGCATTTCTTTGAACAAGGGTAAGTGTTTTTTTTTTTTTTTTTAAGGGGGTCGCTGGATCTCAGACCCGCATCTCTGTCTCCGATCTTCACCACTTGTCGAGTTGAGATGCGCTGGATGCTGTTTCCACGGTGGATCTGGTTCCTGGCGTGCGCGTCCGCGCGGATGGAACTCGGCGGCGCAGCTCTGCCCCGTGACACCTACTTGCACGCGGGCATCTGCCCCAATGAGATTAACCCCAACCTGTGGGTGGATGCCATGAGCACCTGCACGCGGGAATGTGATTCTGATGAGGTAGTTTATGTTTTTTTTGTTGTTGTTGTTTTTAATCACTGGTAGGCAAAATAGTTTTAAAGTTTGATATCTGTATTTTAGGGCTATGAAGTGTCTTCGTAAAGTATTCACACCCTTTGAACTTGATTATGTTTTTTTCCTATGAATACAGATTGAAAGACCGATAAATAGTATTACATAATTGCAATATGAACGGAAATCGACACATCGCGGTCTTTTGTTTTTCTTTTTCTTCTCCTTCTTTTTTTTTTTTTTTACAAATAAAAATCTCACGTTTTTGCGTCCTCTAACCAGTTTTCACCCCATGCATCACTCTGATGTCTCTGATCAGCTTCCTGTCAGTCTGCCTGGTCATGATGCCCCACCGCCATGTTCTAGGCTTGTTAGTTTTCTGTCACACTGTGTTTGCCAAGTAGCCCCGAACCTTCAAATTTGATCTCTTCTCACAATGTTTATCTATAAGTCGTCTGAAATTGAACTTCTTATGGATTTCTTTTAACAATGTTCCACAACTAATAGTTGTCTTGTCAACCTGAGTGTAGATCACAGTTCTTCCTGTTACCATGGAGCTTTCGGCTGCTTTTCTGCCTAACGCTCTCTTTGCCTGGCTTCTATGTAGGTTAGGAGTTGTGCTCACTCTTTTCATTCTTGGAAAATTGATTGAAAGGTGCTTCATTGAGAGGTTCAAAGCCCTACAAGTGGCTACGTAACTTAAATTGCTTTTAAACTTATTCTTTAGCCACTCTGCTGTGTTCCTTGGTCTTCCTTATGTTGCTTGTTTGCTAATATTCTCTAACAAACCTTTGAAGCCTCTCCCATACTTCATCCAAAGTGTTGAACTTGATTCTCATTAGCTGCGTTTCCATCGACCATATAATTGTGCAATTTGACATTTTAGAAAAAAATGTTTTTTTATCAAAAGTTTTGTCTCTAGGATGAGGATGTTTGTTTTTTAGCCATATAAGAATTGGTCTATTTCGCAGAACTGCAATGGAAACACTTTTTTCATATGATCACCAATCACATGTTGCTACTGGCGCAAACCACAAAGAAGACGGCAACAGGAAGTAGATAGGGGATCGTGAAGCAGCGTGTTTTTTAATTACGTATCGTATGAACAAACTTACTCACGTGGTTTTAGTTGTGCTTCTTATTTAATGGAAACACCACAATTGTGAAATTGTGATTTTCAATATTAGCGGTATATTGACAAAGTTTTGTACACATTTGTTATGGAAACGCAGCTATTAAGGTAGGTGCATGACGAAAATTGTCTTTTTCTTGGCACCAGGCCCTAGTTGGTCTATTTGGCCAGAGCTCTATGCGATGTATTGTGGGATTGGTCAGACATTTGCGGACCGCAATGTTGATCTTACGCTTCAGTCCACTCTCACTATCTGGTTTTTGTGTCGGCGACACAAATACTTTTGAGGATTGCTTATCATGTACATCATTCAAGTTGAGGAATTAGGTACAGTTGTATAATTCTTCGTCAAATGGCATTGTCATGCTCAGCCAACATCGTCCCTTCCTCCACCTGTTCAGTGAATTTATACATGTTCATCTCTAAGGCTCTCATGTATACTGAATCGGAAGGAGTGTTCCCCAGGTGGTCTGCGCCATGTATGACAGGTTTGTGTGTAAATACGAATGTCCTGCAATCCTTTGACACTGCATCGACTGTTTGGCTATGGATGAAACATGAGAGAGTCTTAAGTCCCTCACAAACCATCTTGATTAAATAGCAAGAGTAAAATACACACAATTTAACTCTATATATGCCAAGTTACATGAGTTCTGAAGGTAATTAACTGCAGTGGGTTTTATTGATGTGTATAACAAGCTGAATAGAAATCCATGCCTAAGATTAGTATTTCTTAAAAAAGAAATACACAGAAAATCAAGTATTATTTAACACCCACTTTGAAATGATGTGATACTTTATTTTGGTCTTTGACATAAAATCCAAGTAAATGAGTTGAAGCAATTTGACAAAATGTGAGAAAGTGCCAGGCGTTGGGCTGCTTTGCAAGGTGTCGTATTGTTTTTGTTGATTGCAGTGTGCGAAGCACTTCCTACTCCTCACTTGTAAAATCCACCCCATGCACTGAACATCCTTCATGAGCAATTTTCTCTTTGATTCTTACAGGAGTGTGAGTCCTCTGAAAAGTGTTGCCAAAATGTCTGTGGGAACCACAGTTGCGTTGCTGCCCGCTACGTGGATGGGAAGAAGGGCCCTGTGGGAATGCCTAGGGAAGCATCGTGTGCCAGCTTCATGTGCACCCAGCAGGGCTCCGAGTGTGTCATCTGGGAGGGCCGCCCCTTGTGTAAATGCCGGGACCGCTGCGAGAAGGAGCCAAACTTTACCTGTGCCTCAGATGGCATGACTTACTACAATAAGTGTTTCATGGATGCAGAGGCATGTTCTAAGGGCATCACCCTCTCAGTTGTCATGTGTCGATTTCACCTCACCTGGCCCAACATGAGCCCTTTGCTTCCCCAGTTGACCACGCTTCGTCCTACGACTGCCCCCTTTCAGCCCACCGTCCCACTACCATTGGAACCTGAACAACCCGTGTTGGTCACCAGCCCCATTCATCAGACCGTAAACGTGGGTGAAACAGCTAGCTTCCTGTGCGATGTCACCGGTCAACCCCAGCCTCAGATCATGTGGGAGAAGCGGCTGCCCTTGGGAGACGTGAGGGTGATCATGAGGCCCAATAATGTGTTGGGGAACATGGTGGTCACAAACATTGGCCAGCTGGTCATCTACAACACCCGGCTGCAAGATTCTGGGGTCTATACCTGCATAGCTCAGAACCCGTCTGGTTCAGTCCAGGTCCACCACCCGCTCACTGTGCTCTCAGCAGAGGTGTTCAGCACTCTGGGCCCCAAGAACTTGACTCGCTGCCTCCCTGAAGAATGCCAAAACCCCTTTGACAGCCCAGAGGACTGTGGAACGGGGCTGGAGAAAGTCAGCTGGTACTATGAGCCCAAATCCAACAACTGCTTTCCCTTCAGACACTGCCACAGCAGCAATGACCAGTCACCCAGAAAAATGTTTGACACATACGAGGGTTGCATACAGTGCTGTGGACCGGAGGTGTCCAGGCCCTGCGGACTGCCTGCCCTGCAGGGCCGCTGTAAGGTCTATGAGCCCCGGTGGGCGTACATTAGCACCATGGGCAAGTGTCAGTCCTTCATCTATGGAGGCTGTGAGGGAAATGACAACAACTTTGAGTCAAAACAGCTCTGCGAGGAAATGTGCCCCTTCCCGAAAAACCACCACTGCAAAGCTTGCAAACCGAGAGGCAAGATGGTGACGAGCTTCTGCCGGAGCGACTTTGTGGTCTTGGGCCGCATGACGGACATTACGCAAGAGAACGACTCGGGCCACGCCCTCGTGACTGTGGAGGAGATCTTTAAGGACGAGAAGATGGGTTTGCGCTTCTTCGGCAAAGAACCTCTCGAAGTTACTTTCCTCAACATGGACTGGAACTGCCCATGCCCAAACATAACGGGCGCGGCCGCGGAAGGTCAGGTCATCATCATGGGCAACGTCAGCGAAGGCATGGCCATACTCCAGCCTGAGAGCTACGTGGGTGCTTCCACTCCCCGTCGGGTACGGAAACTGAAAGAGGTCATCTCGAAGAACACCTGCAACATCCTCAAAGCAATCACCAATAGCCCTCAGTAGGATTCTCACTGCACAAAGCGTGGACTTGACAAAACTGTAACAAACTCTTGTGAGCTCGACCTCACTGAGGCGTTGTTTGAATCTTTTGATTCGAAAGTTCATGTTTCTTGGAATTCTTTGCTTGTTTATTTTCCCCAGTTGTATCTTGTTCATCTAGGATTTTGTATATTTTAGTTTCTGTTTTGCTTAATAATGTAGGATGGAGATGTCCTTAATTTTTGTCTTATTGTGCTGTGAACAGGCATCCGCATTGCAGATTTATTTTGCTTTTACTTTTGTCAAATCTAATGGTTTCAGATCTCTAATGATAACCTGAAAACATTTAAATGCAGTGTTAAATTGTTTTATTTATTTAGAGAATAAAAAAATCGACCTTGTTTAAGGTGGAAATTTGTTAAACTATAAAACTGAACAAATTTTAAAATTACAAAATGCAACAAATGCTAAATAATAAAATTTCTGCAATTGACCATATTTTTTGGAAAGTTGCTTTCAATCAACTTCTCAGTATGGAAATGGTTACGGAGCCATTTGTAATCTTAATGCTTTTGTGGTTTTGTATTCACCCAAGTTTTCTGTCCAATATAAAAATAGAATTTATGATACCAAAAATTTTAATGAACCAAACAGAATAAGCAAAAACAACAGAAATTTATTGGGGGCCAATCCACTAGCTTATTACTAATTATTATTACTTTTCATGACCTCCATCAGAATGGAGAACTAATCTTTTTTTATTTTTGTATAATTTAAATGGCCTTGTATGTGTATAGTCTATTATTACAGCTCTACTTCCAATCAAGAACCTTGTATATACACATTATATCAAACCAAAGTACCTGTTAAACTTAATATAAGCTTTGATTTGTTTGATTAAAATGATTTGTTATTGCAACATTTTTTTTTTTTTTACAACCAATTCTATTCTTTCTTTTTATTAACTTTGCTTTTCTTTTGGGGCTATTTATTGCCATATAGGCTTTGTATTTTATTGTGTATGTAATATCTCTATAAATAAATTGATTTTTTTTTTTATGTGTTTTGTTATGTGCATAATCTACACACACATAACTCCATGAGAAGGATTCTTCCTGTGCGCTGACATTAAGCCCTCTCTACCTCTGTGGCTTATCTGACAGGCTGATAAAAGAGACTTGGGAGTCGTACATTCCCAGCTGCCTCTGCCCCCCCAATGCTTACCCTAAAAAACTTCAAAACAGAACCATTCATTCTAAAGACCCCAGTGGCATTGTAAAAAGCTTCACCCTATTTTGATTTGCCTGCGAGGTCCAGCCTAATTGGGTGAGGAGCCCGAGTTGTAAACCTCAGATCCACTCCCATAGAGGAGTTATGTGTTTCATGCGGTGCCAACAGAATTCTCTGGGTTCCTAGGAAAAGGCCTTGGTGGGCTACGACGAGGGTGTTCCACTTCCCAGATGAGGTTCTGTTTCCCCCATCCACACCGGCGATGGAGGCAGGACATTACCGCAACTACAGGGCTCCTTTACTGGCTGCTGTTGAGTGAAGAAATATTAGATCTACAGCACTTTGGGATCCAATGACAAAGTCATCAGCAACATAAACTTAACAGCTGTGAAATGTTCACAGGGTTGCCGGGCAATGCATCGCCTGGAAATGCTTTTATTTACGAAATGTATCATTCAAATTAATATCACAGAAGAGAAACATCTACATTTTGTGTTCAATTTTCACAATACACTGTCGTTGATACATTAATGTGAGAAAACACAATATATAAGAAAAGGTGTGGTCCAAAGTTTATGTTAAAATGCATAAATTTCAAAACGTTTTTTTCAATTTAAGTCAAGGTCATTTTTATTATCTTGAACCCTGCAGTGTGCTCCACCGTAACATATAAGTGGTGTTTTTTGTTTTATTTTAAACATTACTATATAGATAGCAAAAGCCAAACCAAACAGCTTTTTATTATTATTAAATGCTAGCAGCGCTAACTACTCTTATCGCTAAATGATGGGACTGCAAACATAAAATATAAACTCTAGAATCATTTTCATTGTATGACTTTTAAAAAAAAAACTTTCCTGTTCTTTTATTTCATAATAACAACAGAGTCGCTAAAAAAAGGAAATACACCTTTGGTCATTACCTTTAAGAAATGGAGGAAGTATTTCTTTAATCATTCTCTGGTTGACTAGCAGAGGCAGCTAATGAGGACGGCACGTCGGACTGGCTGCCAATCTACGGTTAGCAAACAATAAAAAGATGTGCTCACAAATCATTTGATCGGCAGGTTGATAATGGGTGCCTGTACATAAAACACTGCAACAGAAAGAGAACAAAGACACAAAAGGGTCGTGAGAAGGCTAGCTAAACGTTAGCAGTCAAAAATGCTAACGTTGGCATCTGCTACGGAACATCGTAACAGCCCTAAAGTAAAAAGGTTTTTTCACCTCTTCTAAGTAATCAAATCTGATATAGCATACATACAGCTCTATAATGTGTAAACTATATATTTTTTCCAAAAATATGCCATATATCTATATATACTGCTCAAAAAAATAAAGGGCACATTTCACTTTAATTTTGTGTGTGGCTCCAAATAAATTTGATTTTCATTGATGATTTTTGTGTGATTTTGTTGTCAGCACATTCAACTTTGTACAGAACAAAGTATTCAATGAGAATATTTCATTCATTCAGATCTAGGATGTGTTATTTGAGTGTTCCCTTTATTTTTTGAGCAGTATATATAGATATATGGCATATCCTTTAGCAGTGTAAGGATATTCTTACACTGCTAAAACACAAAAACCTATCAAGTATTTTTGTCTAGTTTCCACAGCAAAAATACTTCACTGTATTTTACTTCAAGTAAAAATAAAACTAACATGCAAGAAACTTGTCATCTAAATACAGAAACTTAAGTCAATAATTATTAAATATTGATTAAAAAGCACTAGTTAAATCGATAGATGTTTTTTCACTTGCAAGAAAAACTTTTCTATATTTTTTTTAACTTGTTTTGAGAAAGGTACCTTTGCAATGGTCTTATTGACTATAGAATGTTTAAAAATGTGTGATTGTTAAAAGATGAAAACTACCATATTTAATTTTTAAAAGATTTCAATTTGACAGTTAGAAATGGTTTAGAAATGGTCTCTTAATACAAAAAGGTCTCCATCTGCTGCATGGGCCACTTTTTGCTCAGCCCTATGTTACTCTGTTCGTAAAACCTACCAAAAATCGATTTCTTTTTGGCCTCATGTACGGTATCATCTTATGAACTGGATATATGAACTTGGTCGAAGCATCTGACAAACAATGTCCAGAACGTCTCCGTACATCAACCATGTGTATCTACTAACTTTCTAAACATGGCAACAAATAATTTGGGATGTTCCAAAGGAAAAATTCAGGTACCGCCGCAACGTGCTGCCGTGTCAGATCTATCTTGGTGGCATGCAGAGGTTCGACAGAATGGACGTCAGGGGTGGTCATAATGATTTCCACATTCATTTGCACAACCTTGTCTCATCAAGCACCTTGAACTGAAGCCAAACATTTATAGTTACAACCAACAGTTCAGCTGAGGAGAGGAGTTCAACTATTAAAAACAAAACAACCATCATTTACAAAAAGGAAGGGGGGAAAAAAAGAAAACAACACACTATCAGTTATTTTTCCAACATTATGTCTATTAAAAAACACCTTTAACTACTTTAACGTGTGGTTCGGGGTCTACAAAAGCACAATTTATTATCAATTAAAATTCAGACATATTTGAAACATGTGTGATCTCCATTTTTCAAACACCCGTGCACTTTGATGCTTCTCTAATTTGCAGTGGGCCAACTCAAGGGGTACATGAGTTATGCTTTGATATGCGGTGCAGAAGTTTTTTGCTCGCGTATAGTTTTTCTTTTTTACGTCTTTTCCTCTGTCGATCCGATGGGGTCGTTGCGTTCACAGACTCAGTTCACACGAGGCCGGAGCTCACACGTAGAGCTGGGTCAGGCAGAACGGACCCACAGAGGAGGACAGGCTCGGATTGGGGGAGCCTCTCCAGCTCTCTCTGTGTGTGTGTGTGTGTGTGTGTGTGTGTGTGTGTGTGTGTGTGTGTGTGTGTGTGTGTGTGTGCGTGCGTGCGTGTGCGTGTAGATCTGTGAAAACGCATCCGTGTTTTGGATCCGGGCGAGATCGGACAGGAGCGCCTGTGGAAAAGATCAGCTAGATGGGTGGTTTAGGACCTTTGATTCATGACCCTGCATCTGTTATGTTCATACGACTCGGAAGATCTATTGAAAAGATAGAGCGGCCACCTGACACGCATTGACTGGAGCTGCTACAGTATATCATTCCGTGGCAGAGGGAGCCGAAAGGTTTGAAGCTGGTAGGTGGTAGCGGGTCTGAAACTAATGTTTGGATCTGTGCGTGGGAAAATAACTTTACTGTATAACCTGGAGAGGCTGAGTGTAGCTCTTCACCTGCAGAGAAAAAAATGGGGGGGAAAAAGTTGGAAAAAACACTTAAATCCATCTAAGAGTTCTACAATTACACAAATGTAAAAAAAACACAGAAAACGTATAAAAACAATTGATGCTTCTAACTTTTTCACAGATCGCAGAAAGTCTCTCTGTGCGGTTTTCTTACGGTAATACAGAGATTTAAAGAGCAAACAACTGATGATGTCCTTGACCTTTGACCATCCGCAACCACTCTGAGGCTCCTTACAACCTTTAATTTCCCTTTGGGATGAGTGAGTTTTTCTTCAATAGAATTGGATTGAATAACTTAATTGGTTTTCTCTGACATGTTGAAACTCGTCTGATTTAAGGAGAGTCTAATGTTTTTTGGTGCTTGGAGATGATCAAAGTTTTTGTCGGACAGAGACATGACTCAATTTGACGGATTGAGAAATGACCACAGGTTCTCAGTGGGGTTACAAACTGGTGGGTTTTTCTGGGTGTAGGTTCAAAATGTTGATATACTGTCGATGTAAGTACTGCGACACAGTGAAACACTACATCATGCGGGAAAATCCTCAGATCGTCCCCAAATTGTTCCCAACGTTGCTCTTGGATGATGATTTGATGCATCTTTTTTTTTTATTGGCAGTGGTCTTGGTCAGAACTGGGAGGAAGCCCACACCATTGACATAGAAACAACCCAACACAAAGGCTGTGTCAGGATTAAATATGCAAATATTGAATATTTCAATAGTTAGGTTTTCTCTGAATATATAATCTTATACACAAGCCCAATGTTTGCCATTTCCAACCATCATTTCCTGGTACTTTTATCTGCAATCCTGAGCCCATCGTCTCATTCAGGCCTTCGTTGTTCTGAGTTATTTTCTTTCTAAATATATAAAAGAAAGCAATTTTTAAAAAATAAAAGTTACTGCATCCTTGTCATTTTAAAATTGTATCTTGTAATGACTCAGTTTGTCTTAGTTTGATTTTAAAATCAGATGATCTGAAACAGTAGT